CGTTTTATCAGGATATACATAATTCATAAACTGTATATGCACACGAAGTCTCGCTTATTAATGAGTTTTACTGTAACAAACCTTTTAAAGTTTCCATGGATAGATAGGTTGTTTGCCTCCAGTATTGTTTGGTAAAACAGACTAAACTTCTAAAATATTGGTTACGGAATACGCCGATAAAGATTAAAGTTGATTTAAATATTGATAACTCACAGCGGCATTAAGCCATTATACAAGTCTCAAGAAGCTGGATTATTCTTCAATAAAGCCCTCAATGGACAATGCCAATGTCAATGAAAGGTCTAATATTATACATGTTGCAAATTACTGTATACACAAAATATGAAATAATTTATATAAAGTACAATACCAATGTCTGGTGCACATATCGTCGTAGGTATTCAAGTTGTACCGCACGCACGGAAACGCATGGAGGAGTCTTGGCGTTTGTGTGATATTAACAGATAGCTAACTACACTTCGACATTATCTTTCTTGATCGTTGAGTTTCAGCAATGTAAATGAAATGAATTTTATAGCCAGTCCATAACGGGTTTTCATCCTGTGCTTTTACAGTCAAAATAGCACTATTGTTTACACATGTTGGCGATGTTTGGGAAATCAAAGGATCCCGTTATAAAATAAATCTTTTGTTTTGAATATCGGACAGGATACACTTCAACTATAAAGAACCATATCGTTCGTTTAATACCGTTTGATCGATCAGTCTGTGTAGAAGATATGTATGTTTCTACGGCGATACGTGCTAAACTTCGCATGCCAGGCGCGTGTGGAGTGTTTTCCTTGCAAGTGAAATATGATCCAGCTTCTCGCTTGAAATGTAACGCAACACTTATTGTTGATGACATTCAGCACAGCAGGAAGTCTTTGTCATGATCGGTACGAATCTAGAACGTTCCTTTCACAATCTCTTGTTGCAAATTACATTTTTATCACCCGAAATTATAACACATAAAGTTGCAATTTTCCAAACGCAACAAACACGCTCCCCTACCTCCCGACCCATAGTCAAATTATACGTTTACTCCCAGATTCTGGGTGTGACGTCATAAGCCCCGACCAGGGTCTTTGCTTCCCAAGAGCAAAGAGCCTGGGAACGAGGTTGGACAATCTGATGTACATTAGGTACAACGCGCGACCTCTAAAACGTGGAATTTTTGCCATAGTAGCTTTTCACGCATAATTTTTAAACTTTTTGTAAGAAATATGTAAGATATCAATCATGCATAAGATCAGTCATGCGTGTGATAAATTATGCATGAATGGCTACGTACTATAGCAGGGGCGCACATTCAGCAGTTGCTTGGGTTGGACGATCTGGGACCGACTTTCTTGTTCTCTGCAACCAGTGACAGTGGAACAGGTTTTATTTTGCGGAGGCTAATCAGTTCCAACTAAGTTGGGAACCATAGTTACGATTTTCAGCCAAGTGCAAACATGCACGATACGCATGCAAAACACAATATGAAAAATTGCAAAATTGAGGCTCGGAAATGCCATTTGGTTTCCCTAAAGTAGATTGTAAGTTCGTAATCTCTTAATTCTATAATTAATAACTGTGTTAACAGTTAATATTTAATATTTTTCTAATAGTTAATATTTTTCTTTACGCGTTCTGTGATCTAATTGCGGTTACTATTACAATTCATTTGGATATATAAAATAATAAATTCTAAGTTTTTCTGACAAGTTTTTGTTTTGGTAAACCTGTTACCGCGAAGCTGATTTTGCGGTAACCCAATTTGGTTTCTAGATCTGCCGCATGTAATTTGTGGATAGCCTGCAGGGTAAAAACGGAATCAATTGAAACGGAATCAATTGAAACGGAATATGCACATAGAAGCTTTTACTTTATGGGAGTCAGTATATAATGAATTACCGCTGGAAATAAGGAAGACAGAGAATTATAATAGCTATAAATTTGTAAATATGTTATCAAAGCATTTTAGCTATAATTCATTCCTATATAGATGTTTGACACATTTTTAACATTTATCTTAACGTATTTCAATTTATTTATTAACTTTGTCTATTTTTATGCCGTTTTTATTATAGTATTTCATTGGCACTTCAGCAACAAAGTGCTGTTATCAATGTATGCCCTATACATTGATAACAGCACTTTGTTGTTGAAGTGTTTAATATCCTGTGTAAATATCCGTAACAATAATAATAATAAAGTTTGATGTAGGTCCTTTGAAGTTCAATATCTGTCCTATTCATCGTTAGTCATTTGTCCGTCTTTTACAACACTTGTATCCGTTGTCCGTACCCGCGTTTGTAAACCTTAAGTCAAAAAGCGCCGTCCAGTTGTCCAAGTTCAGTGCACGAAGACCTGGGACCCGGATGTTAATGGAGTTCTTGGCAATTTTGCTATTGTTTAGTGTTGTTTCGTATGTTTCTCAACACAAATGGACGGTAATGTTTCACCTTTTCCACTGTATATAATTTTATCCATATACTATAATTAAACACTTCTTTTCTTTGGCTGTAATTTTTTTATTAATAATCATCCGTACGCTTTAATGTCTGTAGAAATTCGTTCGTGGTGGCAAGTCCCATGCATTGCCCACTTCTGTTCGCTGTTTCGATCTGCATTCGCTTTGACAGATTTTGAAATCGAGGTGAGTTTCTACGAAGCTTTATTATGTGAGCAGTTGTTAAACTGATTGTAGTTGTTTATCCGGTATTTTATGGAGCCCAATTGTACGAAGGTCATTCGGTTGTACTATTATTTTTCGACGGGTCAACATCGCGTGTCAGACAATCGCCAGTCGGTATTTCTACAAAGACAAACTATTTGTAAAAATTGGCAATAGTCCTCGCTTTTGCCACAATGTAACCTCCATCCTAGTTACTATTTTACTTATTTTTGTACAGGATTTGGAAGATGCATTGATGATATCAGGGGGACAAGAGGAGAGTCGATTTTTGGCTGACTTGCATGCTCGTCTATTACGAGGACTGTTTAGCAAGAAAGCAGAAATTAAGTACGTTTATATTTTCCCCGTTTATTAACTTAAATATGTTTGCGCTTTGAATGTAGAATTGGTTTATTTAGCATATTATCACAAAATAATTTGAACGTTTTTGATGTGGACTAAAAGTCATTACAGCTCTTTATATTTGCCCATTATGTAAGGCTATTATAGCAATATCTTTATATTTTTCCGCGTAAAATTCTCTTGGTTAATTTGTGTTTCAACACAATAGACGAATTCGTTTTTCGTGGGAATGCAAATAACATTGTTTTAAAAGCAAAGGGAAGTTTCCCGAACCAATAAATATACGCGAAAAGCTTGTAAGCATTGCCAAATTAATATTTATATTGGATACTTAGTGGGTAGTATTTTTCTATAAAAGCAAGTGAGAATTGTAGATAATACGATTAATTTTATGTTCAAATTAATCGTATTATTTACAAGTGTTTCGTTTGGTTTTACAGAAGAATACTGCCTACTATATAAAAACATATTCAATAGTTACATTCAATTATATATATTTTTTACTTCAGCGCGGACAATTTTGAGCCTTATCTATCAGAAGTATTGAAAGTTCGATGGGCTGATGACTCGAGATTAAAACGGAAAAACCTCCTTGAAACAACAAGCTACAAGTAGGATTAACAAATTGTTTGTTTATAGTACACTAAGTACAGTGCAATGTTACCTTGTTGTTATTCCAAACGTCGTTGCTACAGTATATCTATATTTCAAATAGAATATTTATGTTTATTACACATTCACACTTTATGATTGGTCAACAATCTGTGGATAATTCTCAACATATATGGTTATTGTCCCATTATTTCAGCATGCAATAATTTTTTTTTTAATAGAAATTCAGTCGAAAAAATAGATAATAGCATGCTGTAGGGGCCAAGCCTCCAGTGTGATCGGCAGCTTGTTAAAAACTCACAGAATTTTAGAAGCAAAAACAATCATAATTTGTGCCAGCACCCTCCCCTTGATGAGTAAATCGTATAATAATATATATTGTTATATAGTTAGGGTCAAAGTTCAATTTTTCTGTTTGCCGATTGCTCAAAACCGCGTCACGTGCCGGTTCACAAAACGTCATGTTCGGCAACCGGTCCGCAATCAAACATTTATTGACTGGTCAATAATAAAATGGGTGCAATACGCATGTGTGTCAACCATGAAGTTCCAAAGTTCATTTTTAAAACTTTTTACTAAACATTTACGGCGTTCTATTTATCCAGTTCTGGTTTCAAATTAATTAAGTTCACTCCAATAACCGGTGAATTATTCATACTTTGATAGTTTGACACTCATATACTATATAACAAAACACTTATTTACTGAGACCTCGGGAAAGCAGTGTGTTTTGTGGCCCTTCGACCGCCATTGTTGCCCTCGGCTTCGCCTCGGGCAACAACAGCAGTCTCGGGTCCACAAAACACACTGTTTCCCTCGGTCTCAGTAAATAAGTGATAAATCTCTGCCATGGGCTTAAATGATCAAAGTCTCAAAATGGAGTTATTCCACTTCCTCAAAAAATATAAAATGATGTTCATGTCTATCATTTGACTTCTGCGAGAGTGTGATTGCATTTAAAAGTAGAACAGACAGAAATAAAGCCAATTAAAGGCTGTTTTTCAACCCGGGTTGAAATGTTTCGTCAATTACAGCACACGATGATTTTCAGCCTGGGTAGCTTCAACCGGGCTGAAATTTCTGTCATGTAATCGCTTGCTGTGTTTTATGGTGGCTCGAAAAATCACAAAAACCCTGCTCAAGAATCGCAAACAAAACCCCGGGTGACCATTTTTACGCACGGGTAGCAGAAACTGATTAACAAAATGAAAGAACTTCCAAAATGACCTGATGTGAGCAGTTGCTCGCGCCATATCACGTCATTGCATGTGTCCATCTCATGTCATTAAAATTTTCCATTTTAGAAAAACAATGCACTATATATCTCTCTATTTCGTCTGGTGACCTATGTTCAAATTTTGCATGCTGTATTGCACCGCTAAAAACTTTCATTATACAAAAAATAAAAAATTCTGTGATGCCAAAAACATTTTACTGAAGAGTGTGACATTTTTTGCATTTTCCAAAAAAATGGCATTACAGAATTGTTTTATGTTTTGCTAATTGTTAGCTTTTTTTCCAAGTAAAATAATGCAGGAAAAAAAATTGGGGGTCACCATGCTTCTTTTCCAACTATACAAGGCGATAGACCATTTTAGAGTCAATTTCGTACACATATGTCGTCATAGCAATGAACTATTTGTTACTAAAACTAATATAATTTGAAAGTAGAGATAACAAAATATATAAAACTGGCAAAAACCCCCAATATCTGCTGAATAAATCCTAAAAATGTGTAGTTTGAACATGTCAAAGTGTTGAACACCTGAATGTTTGAAAAGTGTATCGAGCCACCTTAAATTAATTGGATTTTATCTTTAGGCCAGGCTGAAACTCAGCCTGGGCTGGAAAGTCTTCGTATAATCAGACCTTAAGTATAGTATATGATGAGTATAAGTATGTATATGTTTTAGTGACTCATTCAATTCAGAGAGAGTGGCAGGGTGTGCCTATAAATGGTGATTTTTATTAAAAAATGTTGGAAATTTGTAAATATCTGGTTATAGCCCTGATGCACCCTGCTTCATTATTTTACTAACACCAGACAATACCTAATACCGATACCTGCCTAATACCAGACGATAGGGAGAGTGTTTCCACCACTGTCAAATATTGATTTTGCCAGCTTAAGGAGGCTCCCTGCAGTTTACAATATATGTCAGTGTTTTAAACTAAAAGCTATTTGAATATAAAAAACTAACTTTTTGCACAAGCCATCATTTCCTCTTATATAAAAGAGTAACCCACAATCACTACTCTTGACATTACCATGACAACATGACGTCACCATCTATATGGCCTATATCAACCAAAAAAGCTGTCTTAGTGGACAAATACTTACGGTGACCTACCTTTTTTATTGCAGAAAATACATTGTTATGAAGTTTTGAATCTTTTTTGAAAGTTATTTGAAAATCGCCAGTGTATTTTTTCGAGAAACTGAATTTCAGCCTTTAACATTGCACTTTAGCCTTTGGAAAGGCTGAAATTCAGTTTCTCGAAAATTACACTGGCGATTTTCAAAAAACTTTCAAAAAAGATTCAAATTTCATAACAATGTATCTTATGTAATAAAAAGGTAGGTCACCACGGTTATTTGTCCGCTAAGTCGGCTTTTTTGGTTGATATAGGCCATGGTAACATGAAGAGTAGCGATTGTGGTTTAAAACTACTTTTTTATTTAAGAGGAAACAATGGCTTGTGCAAAAAATTAGTTTTTTTAGATTCAAAAAGCTTTCAGTTTAAAACACTGATATATATTTTTTTGGGTACTGTAGGGAGCCTCCTTAAGAGACTCTCAAAGGCAAACAATTGGTTATTGCAATCAGTCAGATATCAATGGATTGACATGACATGATAGTTATGACATGATTTGAAGTGACAATGTGCCACTTTATTATTTTACTCTTTCTAAAGCCAGATGATTTTACTCGTCAAGGGGAGAGTGCTGCCACTCAATGGGTTAAAATTCTATTGCACTCTCAGTGAAATGGGATTTTTTATTCAATATCATGCATGATCATACAGTAATTAGCAGAATTTAATAAGGTGTTATATAATCTGAAATGTGTATATTGATCTAACTGTGTTAAAACTAAATTTTAAACCACCCATACTTGCTGGAATTAATAATTGTGAATTCATTATAGGGACTTATCAATTTTGGACAAAGTAGAGATACTACATAGTTTGTGTGACTGGAGACTTGATTGTGATGATGTTCCTGACCATCTAAAGGTTCTCCTTTACATTTGTTCATTTTCATTTAAAGGTGGCATGAAATGAATCATTTTATTGTCTCATTTGAAAGAGTTGCACAGTAACTTTTGTTACAGTTTTTAGTAAGATAATTTGATTTTTTTATCAGCACTGCCAACATTCCAACAAATTAATGTCATACAGACATAATGGCTGCATGTTCCAGTTTTGACAAAAATACTAACAAAAAAAGTACCGTACTGATAATATTCAACCTAAGTTTCGCCAAAAATTCAATTCATGAAAAGAAACCTGATCTACAATAGAAAACTCATGGCACTTGACAGTAGCGTAAAGTGAGTTCCTGTTTAAATCTATACACAGTTGCATTTGTATTCTAGCAGAATTTGAAATCTGCAGCATATCAATATCAACAAGATATTTGATGTGTTGGTGTAATGTACTATACACCGTAATGTACTATACACTGTAATGTACACCAACACATCAAATATCATGATTATCAGATTACACTGATATCGAAGGAACTAGACTCCGAAATATCGCATACTCGAACCGACCTGACCGCATAGCTCAGTTGGCAGATGTTGTGCATTGGGCTAGTATTCCAAAGGTCGTAGTTGTTGTTGAGCATTGGGCTAGTATTCCAAAGGTCGTAGGTTCGAATCCTACCGTGGTCAGGCATATTTTTCAAGCCTGCCCGGTGTGGATATGCACTCAGAGTAACATCACACAAGCATCTACAAGATACTAAAATTTGGTTTTGGATACCAAACTGTTAATGTGAAATACAACATTTCAAACAGTAGAATTTAAATGTTGATTGTTCCAGTGCTTCTGAATGCTATGAGTCTGCTACCTTGACAATAAACAGCAGGCTAATTCATGAATGATTGGTCATGATTGGTCACTGACTTTGTCACTGTGTTGTATTATCTCACTTGGTCATGCTGTAAGTTTCAAATCCCGACTCATATTTAAATACATACGCAATTCACATTACATATCAAGACTGAATTATCTTACCAATAAGCACAAAATTAAAAGGAGAATATGTGAATGAACTTATTTTACAGTTATGATTATTCTTTAAAATGGGACTAAAAAATTTGTATTCATGTATCATGTCACTCTTTGAGATCTTAATATTAGAAAAACAGGCTGCAATTTTCTGATTGATTTTTGCTATTTGGGAATCACATCAGAGAATATGCTAAAATAAATCTTTTTTGAATTCAAACACTGCTATAACGCATGCATGTTGATAAAATAGGGAGCCAGGGTGTTAGCTAGCCCATATACTGTCTGTTTCACAGACTCTACCCAACTGAAGTAGCCAAGGGGTTTTCCCAACTGGGTTTACTGGAAGATTTTCATTTTTTTCTGATGAGAAAGTTCATTGCGTTTGATTTTATATTATTATATCAAAGAACGTTTTATTTACTTTTTCCCATTAACTATTTTCTCAAAATGTATCGTGTTTAATTCATATTGGGTGACTGTGTATTCACTGAAATGAAATGTACAAAACAAAGTGTAATCGGTGTACTTCCGTGTTCATTCACCGGAAATTAAATATACAAAACAAAGTGCCATCGGGTGCATTTTTCAGTGTTCATTTACCGGAAATGAAATGTACAAAACCAAGCCACCGTTGTTTGCATCGAAAGAGAAACACGTTGGGAAAAAAAACACTATTTATTCCTGCACAAGAACATTGATCGGTCAAAAAAAACTTTCCCAATTTACGTTTAACGGACAAAACTTTTTTTCTGGCTATTATAGTGAGTTTTTGTCGTATTAAAAGGATGCATAGGAAAAAGAATATGGCTAAAACTTTTTCGAAATATTCAAAAGAAACGACAGCCATTTTGTCAGTTTTTCCACTTTGCAAAGCTGTAATTTCCTTAAGATTTTGATGAAGAAGATTCCTGCACCATGTTGATTTATTTTTCACTTCAATATTTTCACATTCAACACTAGAGTATGGAGGCAGACAGTCTTCGCGTTGAGCCGCTGGGTCGGGACGCAGAAAACAACACCTACTGGTATTTTTATGGCACGAGATTGTATAAAGAATATGTAGAGAAGCCAAACAAGGAAATGAAAGGCAAGGGAAGAAAAAAGTTGGTGAAAAAGAAGAAAAAGAAATTTAAAAAGAAGAAAAAAGTGAAAAAGCATTCCAGTTCAGAATCTGAATCCCCGACGTCTAGGTATGTCTTTCGTTTTCTATAGTAGTATATTGACATTCCTCATAGAATGCGGGCAAACTATTTGTTCTAACTGCGACAGCAAGAACGTCTGCTGGAAATCCGGGCGGATCTACCTTGTGGTGTCTAGCACCCCCTAGAGAAGTCCATGTGCACCCCCTAATCTGCTTGAATACATTTTCTGCTTTTTGAATAGCGATTAGCGGAACTTCTATACCGTTAGCGCGTGTCGATTTCTTGAAATGATTTAATTGTTCGTGAGCTCACGAGAAAATACTCGGAATGCTTTAAGTTAAATATCATGGTTAAATATATGTATGTAAACATGTCGAGATTATTATGCAGCCATATGTGGGTTCGCAGTAATTGGCTAATCGCTGTTGCGAATACCCTGCCATATGATCTATTTAGTTTGTTAAATTATTACTTTGTAATAACTGTTAATTAGACTATCTGGCGAAGTTAATAAATTAAAGTATATTTTCAAATGTACAATACTGTACTTTAACATGCAAATTTAGTGTAATGCGCAGTCTGCGCTACAG